GACCAGGAACTGACAGAAGCGAGTTAAAAAATATCTACCGAACTTGCTCATCCACGGGATAGAAGCAAGTTAGGTGCAATAACAGACCATCTGATGGGTAATGAACATCGAGCTGGAAAACGAAAAGCGTTTGAAATCCCGTATGGAATACCATCACAACTAAACCGTCAGTTTGGGGCACGACTGCTTCCGACCTTTGAAACCGTAAGATCCAGATTGGCAAACCCAAATCTCTGCATCTAAAAGAAGTTCGACCGAGCCCTACAATCCGCGCAACAAACCAAGTTCCACCAATCACCTGAGTACCTAATGCGGGTCAAGACCATTGTTTGATTTTTACAATAAATGATTTCGCTCTGTAAACGCCTATGGACTTAGATTTTGTTAACGTTTATTTCCGTACTAATGCAGATGAGGAATCAAACTGTAAGACTAGTAAATATTAGTTCAAGACGGTGCGCGGAATCGAGCACAGATATAGGAAAGTAATTGAACTCGACCACAGCGGACTATATTCTATGGGCTACAAAAAGACGTGAGTGGATGAAGCGAGACAGGAGCAAACGTCAGCGGGGTATTTTACAGAGCAAACGAGTGTCGAATCGGATGTAAAGGAGATTAGAACAAGAAATAAAACTGTATGTAAAAGATAGCGATTATTCTGGAACGTTATAGAGCTCTCCTCTTAGAAGGCCGAACAAAAGAAGTTTCCGGTGTCGAAGATGATAGGTGAATCGAGTCTCGTAGGGGAAATAGTGCCGGGTAAAAATGAAAGAGGATACGCGGTAAATCGGAGTCCGCTGTGCCGTTTGTCATTTATTATTTACTGGTTGCAAGGTAGGGTGCATTTAGGCGAGCCGTTGGAGCGGGTCAGTCGGACTTCAAAAAAAACTGACTAGCGCAGAAAAAGGGCCAACTGGCCCTCAACCTGTGCTTCTGCCAAACGGTGCGCTTGGGAGTGGTCTCTTTCCTAGCCACAAATCCACCCCGCGCCATAAAGATCCTAGTCCCACGAAGAAGCGACCCATGCTCGCGACCGAATCCTCGTTGACTGTGGCGATCTTCGAAAACGTTGCTCGTGAGAGTCAGTCCATCGAAGGAGGGTAGGGGTACGTTGAAACAAAAAAACAACAGAAAACACGTCAAAAGGAATGAACGAATGGTTTGCAAGCAAAGATATTTGGATATTTTTGTTTTTGGAGTGTTTAAAAAGGTCTTTTGGAAGTTTTTGGATATTTGTATTCAAAACGTGAATCGACCAAAAACGGGACAAATATATACATATCTACCAACCTAAAGGTATTTACACGGTACATAATCGGAAAAACGTACAGGCTTAAGGACCTCCCGACCACGACGATTGGTCGTGGGATGCGACAGGTGAGGTTCGGGAAATGTCGGGACGGCCGACGCTTGTAGACCGGCATCGTTGTCTCATTCGACGACACTAGGATGCTGAAAGTTGGTGCGGTGAATTGTGACGTCGCACGGAGCACTGCTAGATGAAATAGGTGACCTGGCTTCTTCGATAAAGGCACGCTTCAGACGGTCGATGGTGACGAGTTCGCGTCGACCAATGCGGTCGATCGTGTACGTCTTATTCGCACGGTGTAGCACTTTGAAAAGTCCTATGTACGGCAACTGAAGAGGCCGTCGAACACGGTCTGCGCTAAGAAGGACGTGTGAACATATAAACAGCTTCCCGGGAAGGTACACTGGTGTCTTCGATGATCGAGTGAATGTAGCTCACGCATCTGGTGAGCCAATTGATCGGTGTAACTTTCGTAGTCAAAAGAGAAAGTAGACGGGACTGGTGCTATCAGCTGTCCGGACAACCGCAGCGCGCAACCATAGACTAGCTGCACTGATGTTGCGTCGAAATAGGTCTTAACCGTGTTTCTTAAGCCTAGGAGGAAGAAGGGAAGTATTTTAGACCATAAATAATCTGCGTGCACACGTAGCGCGGCCTATAATTGGCGGTGAAATCGCTCCACCATGCCGTTAGCGGCAGGTTGAAACGCCGTCGTCTGGACGTGGCGGCAACCCAAAACTTTAAGTAACGTGGCAAAAGTATATGAGAAATGTGATCTTCGATCAGTATGGTTGGACAGCCGTACTGACCAACGCAGCGCTCTAAAAATGCGTTTGCTACTGTTTCTGAAGAACAGTTCGGAATCGGAATAGACCCTAGTGAATCCGTTGATGCAAGTCAGCAGGTATACCGAATCATTCAAAGGGGGCAGAGGATCTGCCACGTCGACAGGTACGTGGTGAAAACGTGCGTCTCGCGTCAGAAACATGCCTAATGGGCTTTTCGTGGGCTTTTGCAATTTTGCGCGTTGACACGGAAGGCAAGCAGCTGCCCAAGTACGGACGTCACGATTGACATTGCGCCAAAGGAATCGTGCGGTTATGAGTTTAACCGATGCACAAACGTCTGGGTGAGACAAGCCGTGCAAGGTGTCGAACACGGTCTATCGAAACTCGTGTGAGACGAATGGGCGCGGCGTACTCAGACATAAATCGCAAAGTACGGTTCCATCTGACGAGGTCAGCGGAACGTGTCGCATGTGACCTGCGTAGTAGATCTAACTCAGGAACATTGAGTTGTGCTGCGGCCATGGCTGCCAGGTCAATAGCAGCGCCGGCATCAGCGATCGCCTGAATATGGGGAACTGCGTCGGCGACAGCGTTGTGCAGACCTGAGACACGTCGTATATCGGTAGTAAAGTGAGCGATATAGTATAGGTGGCGAGATTCTCTAGGATAGTATCGGTCGGTCGTCTAGCTAGGCACGCAAGTCAGGGGTTTATGGTCGGTGAAGACGGCAAAGGAGCGGCCTTCTAAGATATATCGGAAATGAAGTATGGATAAATAGATGGCTAATAGTTCCATCATACTTCGCAGGCTATTCCCAAACCGCGAATCCTTGCAACGAGAAGAACAAGCTGGGTTTCGCCCTGGTTGCGGCTGCATCGATCAAATCTTCACACTTCGCCAGATTCTAGAGCTCCGCCACGTGTACCTGAGGTCAACGATTGCTGTGTTCCTGGATATCCGTGCAGCCTTCGATCCTGTCGATCGTATGGTACTGCGGCACTGCCTACTGAGGAATGGTGTCCCCCAGAAGTACGTCTCCATACTGCGTGCTCTCTATAATCTGACCTCGGGCAGGGTTAGGGCTTTGGGCAAGCTTTCGCCTACCTTTGTGGTCTCCAGTGAAGTGCGAAAAGCACGCCCCATGTCTCCGTTCCTATTCAACTTTGCCTTTGAGGATGTCCTCAAGAACGCTCTGGGCGATTCGTTGAACGCTGGTGTTGAGCTCCTCCCAGGTAGTCGAGTTGTTGATTTGGATTATGCTGATGATATCGTCTTGCTGGGTGACGATCCACACGCCATCCAACTTGCACTAAACCGCTTGGCGATTGAAGCATCAAAGTATGGTATGTACTTTTCGCCATCTAAATGCAAGACTCTCTTCCAAGACTGGCAGGTGCCTCTGCCTGCACTCAGTCTTGGTGGTGAGACACTAGATGTTGTGGAGACCTTTGTCTACTTGGGAAGTTGTATCACTGCTTGCGCGATTGTTGGAGACGAGATTTCGATGCGCATCTCGAGAGCACGCCTCGCTTTTTCTGGACTTATATATACCGAAAGTACTGTAACAAGATTCGGCAGGTTGTAGGCGTTTTGAGTAGAACGCCATCGATTGCTAAGCGTCACCTACCTGTTGTTATAAGACAGCGCCAAACGCTACGTCAGAAGCGTCCGTACTGAGGGACAATAAAGCTGTCAGTTCGTGATGCGCTATAGTAGCTATGTTGTCGATAGTTTCTTATAAAGCGTGATTTGCAGCGCGTGCTGCAGCAGGAAAAAGGAATTTCCTGAGTTTCCCTCGGAAGTCTATGAAAGGCTGTACCAGTGACACGCAGTCTGGTAGAAAATAAAGATAGAAGTTGATGAGGCCGTCAAAGCGTCTCAGCTGCTTGAAAGAATGAGGTTCGGGATAATCGATAATGATTTCAATTTTATCCTGTAGTGGCAGGACGCCTGCAGGAGAGATCTGATGGCCGAGGAAACTGACCGAATCGACACCAAACGAACGCTGACCGTTAACCTGTGTTGGGATAAACAGACAAAAAGTGTTCGAACGTGGCGCAAGAGCTCTTCTCGTGATGAGCTAGCGATTAAGATGTCACCGAGGTAAGCAGAAGTGAAGTCTAGGCTTCGACGAACTTGGGCGACGAAGCGCTGAGAAGTTTGCGCGGCATTCCTTAGACTAAATGGCATGCGCAGGAGTTCAAACAAACCAAATGGGGTTGTCACGGCAGTTTTAACTATGTCCGCTGCGGCTGCCGGAATTTGGTTGTAAGCGCACCCAAGTCGATTTTGCTAAAAAAGTTCTTACCCGCCAAACTGGCGGTGGGATTCACGAGGCGTGGGATCGGGTAGCGATCAGGTGTGGTTAGAAGGGGAGGCTAGGCATTGATGCGGGAGAATGAAACTCACAACCCAGACGTCACTGAGATTGGCTCCAGGTCATGTCAACCAGCGTATCCATACAAATGTGTTCATCGTCCTTCGGACCCTAAGCCGGTAGTCGATGTACCAACCGCGGCTAACTCTTCTGAGTGAGCCACCATGTGCAATGCACGTCGTGTGTTTTAATGACTTAAACAGCGCGTGCTATACGCAAGTACCTCGCTGCCGTCGTTCATAACGGGGATAGCGCTTAGGTTAATTGTTCGTCGTGAAACTGTCCTCTGTTTCCTTGCTCGTATCCTCTCTCGTTGCTTTTCAAATGATGGTTATATAACGACACAGCAATTCTCTTGTTCGTCCTTTGATGTGATTTCCTCACTGTTTACTTCGCTAGTCATTAGCACTTTTCTCTCTAGAACGACATTTAACAAATCCGGACTGCAATCTGACCTGTCGACTTCCGTTGCACAGATTAACGAGATTATTGCTAAAGTCCCCAAAAGAAAATAAACAATGTCTGGTGTTTAAAAACAATATATGTGATATACGTTTGAAGTTACTTTGTACATAAGGTGATCGGGACCGTATCTCGCCTGTGGAGGAGACATGTTAGTATCTATGAGCCACAATTTTCCAGCGCGAGCTGTAGCATAGCTTTTGATAAATTTCGTCCTAAAACGCAAGTCATAATCAAGGCCAAACATACCAATAAAGATCAGTCGAAGGGCTAGGGGCCCGAAGAGTGCAGTGTTTTCAGGAGGTACGGGACATAAATCGTACAGCTCATTGACAGCTTGTAGCGAGTGCACGATACCTGGGTCTTCTGTGAACCGGACAAAGCCCTGCAAAAAATAAAGTACCAAGTGGCGTGAATCGTGTGAACATAAGAGAACATGATAGATAGGCGAGCAATCAAGCGTGCGACGAAGAATACCACATCGCATGACGAGAGGACCTAGGTTAAAGGTGTTTGTGAAGGCAGTTGAAAGTTCAGAAATAGCAGACAAACAGAACGTTAACGGAAACATCGCAAATGAGATAACACCTGTGTGCAGCCAAGTAGCCACGATCATACGGGTTTGGACCGACAGCATGTGAGTGGTACGAAATAGCGTTGGTAAAGCGTAACCACATCTGGAGCAAGGAGAAATGTGATGGGTTCGCGAAAGCCGAATAGAATCCGGCCAAACGGACGATGACCTATGGGGTAAATTAGGAGGGAGAACCAGGTGCAAACCTTACTAATAAGCACAATAAGCATAACTGGTTGTGCTCTATAAATATCACGTCATCTCACAACCAAGAGTTTTGCCGAAGCCCAGCATTTCTGTTTTTAGAAAGCTACAAATAATAATAGTAAGATAATGTGCCAGCTGTACGTCGTAACGGCGTTTCGCTGCCGCGCGACCACCACCAGTCGTGCGCGGGCTGAGTATACCGAGAGGATGCCCACCCCTACGCGGATTCGAACCAGGGACGTTATGGTTGCAAACCAGGTGCGCAGATCACTCGGCCACCGGAAGCTACAAGAATGCTGGTTAGATCCTCATGCACAAAAAGTGAACACAGTGGTTTACCACATGAACGGCGACCGCGCACGTTCAACCAGATGAACATTAGCTTGGATCTCATACAGATTCATAAACAAAGGAAAACATAATGAACCTAACCAGCTTGCTCACTTCAAAAATGCCGCTGCTACATAGTAACAAATGATATCGTTAAACAGACCAGCGCATAAAACCAGTTAAGGTGACGGGTTGCAACATAATTCAGTTAGATAGCTAACGCATGTCTAGTGTTAGAGAACATTACCTTTCTATCCGGACACATCCCAACGCGCACTCTGAACGGATCCAGCAGGATCTGAAACTATAACTAATCACATGTAGAGTGGTGACTTAGATCACTAAAACATGGGTGATGGACGCCAAGATGTAATGCGGGGCGAAATTCACACTGCGAAGGTTGGATGTGGAAGTTGCGAGTACTCTCGAAATGATTTGGAATATTGGTAGCTCGGGGGGTCAGTCAGTTGCTCATAGTTGCTCAAGTCAGTTGCTCATACTATGGCAGCAAGTAGATCGTTTATCTCTGATAAAGGTGAGTTCGTGGTTGGTAGCAAAGTACTCACTAGACTGAAATAGCATCGGTTTTGTACAACCTAACCGTTGGACCATGAGAGAGATCTGTTAAAGCGAGTCAGAGAGTAATATATGCTCTCAATCACTCTCTTACACTTTTACAAAAAAGCCCGAAAAGAAGCCACTTATTTCCGACGCCAAAACAACACCCAGGATGCAAGAATACGGAGCATCATAGATGATGCCAAATTATACCGGATCTGCTTGTTCCAGAGGCGACAGATAGCCACAAGACGACGGCAGCATCTGCATGGCGACCTAATTTGTTTGGTTCTGAAGCACCACTCATGATTACAATCAGACGATCAACATACAGGGTAAATACAGGCGAGGAGAGCCTTAGAGCATATCATCTGTGAGAACCACAGTGCCACGGGTCACACGTAATCGCGCATGCTACGTGAAGTTAGATAAATGCACAACACGGAGGCTGTAAAGGTAACTGAAATCGTGACAGTATAAGGCAATGTTGTAAACAGCTGAGTAGTATACAAGCGCCGTCCGATAGTCACCTCGACATTCGAAGTGGATGGGCGGAGACACGAGTATCGGGTGGGAAATTGCAGCAGTGTTGACCGTACCGGGATGAAAGCACACTTGAAGCCCAGAGCTACCATAAAGATGGGGCACCTCAGTTTCCCAAGCGAAAAAGGACAATTTTCCATAAAGGATGGAAGAGGTAGCACGCTGAACTAGGAAACGCATAGCCGACATCTCCTCGACAAAACAAAACCCATGACCCAAAAGTTGAGGGACAACATACGCGATGTCAGCAGGTGTCGCTACTCATACAGTGTTGTGCTCTCGAATAAGGATATTGAAATAACATTCTATGTGCCGTGCTGGTTGATTGTTGTACCCACACCCCAAGTGAACGGTAGTCAAAACAAAAAAGGTTGATAGTACACATGGGACGAACGAAGATGTAGTTTGGAGGACCAGCTGGGAACTTACTTTCAATCGGAGTACGACTATGGAATTGTTATTTTCATCTGTATAGCTTTTCTCCCAAAGAAGTGACTCAATGAAATTCTCGAAATGCGGCCGATCAACGGGCTTGGAAGATTCAATAGTGACTGTACTGATTCTCTGTTGTGTCGAAAGGGATGGTGGTGTAAAAGTACGAAAACAATGGACAAACTTGATCCAAATGGGAATCGCCGGAGGAAAACGGTGCCTCGAAAATATCCAATCTAGGGCTAAGACAGGTGGACGAAATGATTAGAGAATATGATCAATGTCAAATGTGATGAGGAAAAGAGTGGGCAGTAGAAACGTACGTCGATGAGTACATGTTGAGATCGAGGATGTCATTGAGATCGACTCTAAAAAACAAAAGATGAGGAGACAGCACGTGGATCAACGAAGGTAAAGCGCAAGAAGGAAGAGGCACGGAAGACAAAAGCAAACTGCTTGGTGGCCAATATTGAGTCGCAAAATCAATTGTTCAGCTTGCAACGGTTAGAGGAAAAGAGACAGTTTAACAAGGTCCTGGGGAGTTTTGGACAATCATTTTAGTCGTCTATCAAACAGACGGGTATCCGGAGCACATATGATTTACTAAATCAAAGAAAAGGCTGATGCTCAATGAAGGAGGATTTGATGTCACCAGAGCACAAATGTGGGGCAGCAAAGTGGTATCCACCAGATGGATAGAACGATGGTTGCAAGTAATGCTATGGAAATATTTTCCAAAGGAGATGAGGGATGTATCAAGACTAGCTGAAAGAAGTTATACTTCTGATAGTGCGCAAACACGTAAGAGAAGATTGTTAAGAGGGTAACAAGACGTAAACCATGGATCGTTCGTCGTAACCAATGAAAGCGGTGGGGGGAGTCAAAGGTAAAGCGTCACTTTAGTTCTCATTCACAACCATTGTCGTCTGGCCAAGTCAATTCGGCCCAGCATGACGAATATTCAAGTGCTATGCATCACACTAGAGCATTTAAAATTATCATGTCTGTAACAATTAAATATAATGGAAAAAGCGGGTAAAAGAAAGTGGGAGCAGTTAAATTAATAAACTAACATGGAGTTTCTGAAGGAAAAACTGCTTATGCTTAAGTGCCAGTACTAAATTACACCAACGAGTGTGCAGGATATGCGGGCGTGTGTGTTACATACTACTCAACTTGTTAGAACCCAAGTGGCAGATGATAATTGTTTATTGCTAAAGTGGCTTACACTAGGTATGTTCGTCCATACATTGGAGGCGTCCGCTCATCTGCGTGATCTCCATGCAGTGTTCCCCAACTGGTGCTTGCCTCTGTGTTTACTCCTCGTGCGCATGGAACTGTAATCTTGATGTCATCTTCAACTTTGGGGACGTCGGCAGGGCTTGCTGTTGGTGTATCATCCTACACCACCACACTACTTATACCAGGCGCAGTAGTATCTACCTTTAATCCACCACAAACTGATTGCGTTGTTTTCTTGAGCTGTCTGCTGAGAAAGGGAGTGCTCGATAAATACGTTAGCATTCTGTAAGTCAGTTACTCTTGAATCGCGGGCCGGATGTGGGTGTAAGTGGAACTTTAGCCCCCACCCCCATTAATATCACTAGCGGCGTAAAAAAGGGTGCCCCGCAGAACCCTTCGTGTTCGACTTAGCTGTGGATGGCATCATAGGGAGTGCTGTGGAAAACTGGGCGTAGTGGTGTCGAGTTAGTCCCCCGTGATTAGATCCGTAACTCGGAGTATGCTGACGACATTGCCGTAATCTGTGACTCCTCGCATGCTGCGCAGGATATGCTGTGTAGGTTGCAGATGTCTGTCACGCAGTTCCGAATGATCTTAGCCTATTCCAAATGTGAGGTTTTCTTTCAACACTGGTTAGAGGCTGATCTTACCCTCACCCTCTTCGGCTCTTCTTATTAGCAAACAAATTCGTTTACCTTAGACGCTGTAGTAGCGCGAACGGATTGACGGATGAGATCTATTCGCGCATCAACAAAGCCAGAGTAGCCTTTACTAACCACCGAAATCTCTCGCGCCGGTGTGATTTTAGTCGTTCTCCAAAATGTCGAGTCTATAAAGTTACGGTGCGAACAGTGCTCATGTATGACTGTGAGACCAGGCCCATTCGAGTGAGCGATGTCCAGAGTCTGCCGGTTGTTGATCATTGCTGCCTCCGGAGCATCGTCAGCGTACGTTGGCAACACCGCATTATTAATGATGATACTCGACGTCGGATTTTCAGGACAGAAAGAGTCAGCTGACCACTGAGCTGCATAATTTCCTTGGTTGCACCCCGGTTGCTCGGGCACCTTCTTCTTATGTCTGAGAAACGGTTGTCCCACCGAGCTTTGTTTATATGTACCGGTGTTGATTGGAAGCGACGGAAAAGTGGTCCACACAAACTGGATCCGTGACGTCAGAGCACTAAGGTTGCAGTTAATCACAGTGGGGAGTTCGAGACAGCCGGGTTGGGAGCTTCAGAACAATGAGTACGTCAGAGCAGATACGTTATCGGAAGCGATTCCTTAGGAAAAACTGCGCCTAACGCGAGGTGCGAATAACACAAGAAAGTCCGAGTGATACGGCGAATTAGTCGTGTTCAGCCCACTTACCCCCAAGGTGATAATGGAGCTTTTGCTGGCGTTCGAAAAGAGACGACCAACCACCAGGTGCTGCGGAAGCATTACAATAGGTCTCTGGTTTAGACAGTTGCAGGGAGACTGCAAATACCGGAGTTCGAACTGAGTGTGAGGCAGCTATCGGCTTCATGAAAACAAGTACTCTAAGCGGTAATGTAAAGAAATGCAGCGTAAACGAAAACACTAAAGTAGAAGGAGAAATGCACCACTAGTACGCAAGCATTTTGCCATGCAATTACAAGCGCCTGCCGTCGGTTGCAAGAGAGCCGGTACCAGGGACGAAGTAAAAGTAGACGGTATCGATAAGGGAGTCAGATGAACCGGCATGGAAGTAGAAATGAGTTTCCATAAGGATGGAGAAGGATAGCTGATACATCAGTCATCATCATCATCAGTATAAATGTTAGCTGCAGGTGGAAAATACCTCAGCTATTATGCCGCAATACAGAAACAAGAAAAGGAAAACAAACAATGGCATGCCGACTGAGTCCCCAGCAACGGATGGACATCGTTCCGAAGAGCTAACAGCTGGCTATCGTGCCGTAAAAAGAGAGTTATATTATGCCTAACGAGTGAGATCGTGATCGGAGGGGGATGGACAAAGAAACTCACAACACAAACGCCGTTGAGGTCCACTCTTAGCCATACCACAAAGTGTGTCCAACCAAACGTGTTCACCGTCCTTAGGTGCGCAGCTAGGCGGTTGGGATGCACCAACCGACGCCAACTTCGAAGTGAGGGTTTCCATCTCTCACTACCAAGTCATCGCTTGGCCTCCCCTCCTCCTCTTCCAACCGCACCCACAACGCGTAAACATTGCACGTCGCGGGAGTCGGTGTGCTGGCATGCGCAACACGTGGCCCAGCCATCGGAGCCTAGTGCCTGATATAATGGCGCTGAGCGGTTCACTCGCTCTTCCTGCACCAAACACATCATACCGAACACGCTCATGGCTCACGCGGTGCTCCCAGCAGACATCAGCTAAGCTGCGAAGGAAGCGATGATTGAATATGACGAGCCTCTTTATATCTGTCGACCTGATGGGCCAGGTTTCACAACCGTATAGGAGGGTTGAACGAACGGCTGCGTTATAAACACTGCCTTTCAGGACAAGAGTAACGTCGCGTCTGCGCCACAGGTGGCGGCGATTAACAAAAGCACCTCGAACTTTGTTACGTGCTTCGTAACCTCATCTGCGATCGCACGGGAGATAACATAGTTGCTCAGGTACTTGAATTCCTGAACGACTTCCAGCTGAGCACTACCAAGCGTCAGCACAGCGTTGGGTCCCTGCCAATCTTGGAGAAGTATTTTGCATTTCGATGGAGCAAAGAATAGCCCAAAACGATTAACAGCCAGTGCTAATCGGTCCAATGCTGTTTGGCATGTTTCGGAGCTGTCACAGATTAGGGTAATATCGTCCGCATACTCCAAGTCAAGAAGTCGCTCACAAGGAAATAGCTCCACACTTTCTAGGTCGTGTCCAGTGAAAGCTGATTCGATGACTTCATCAATAGCGAAGTTAAAGACCAAAAGGTGACAGCGGGCATCCTTGTCTCACACCACTGGTGATAATGGAGGGTGGCGACAGTTTGCCATAAACCCTCACTCTGCCCGAACTATGCGCGTACAGCGCTTTGATAATGTTTACATAGTTATCACGCACACCGTTCCTTAGCAGACGGTCCCAAATGGCACGTCGGTCGACTGAGTCGAAGGCACCTTTTATAGCAAGAAACACGACAACGGTGGGTCGTCAATAAATATGGCGGTGCTCCAACAATTGACGCAAGGTAAAGATGTGGTCGATGCAGCCCCGACCTCGACGAAATCCGGCTTGCTCTTCACGAATCTGGCGTTCACGAGTGCCAACCAGTCTGTGGGGACTGATAGAGGCAAGCAATTTAGAGGCAATCGAAATCAGACTGGTCCATCTATGATTGCCGCATTCCAAAAGGGAGTTTCCTTTGAAAATTGGGACAATGACGGAGCGTTTCCAGTCTGTCGGGACAGTCTCCTGCTCCCAAAGTTTCACTACTAACTCCTGTAAATCATCTATTAGAGCAGGTCATCCGAATTTGTAGAGGGCTGGGGGAATTCTACCTGCTCCTGCGGCCTTATGCAATTTCAACAGCCTGGTCTCACGTCCGACTTATGCGCGTGAGGGCGGATCCAAGGAGACGGCCCAGGTAGAAGGGCGCTCAACACCCGAAAAAGAAACCGATAACTCAGGTTGGTTGAATTGTCTTGCAAAGTGTTCAGCCCAACGCTCTAAGCGTTTTGACAGGCTATGGATCAGGTGCCCACTCTCGTTGCGTATGGTCTCGCTAACACCATGTTTCCTGCTGCCTGTTTCCCGTATTAGACGCAATAACGTACGATGATTGCCAACGGTAGCGACTGTTTCCATCTCAGAGGCACGAGGAGACCACCAGATTCCGCGGTCTTTCTTCAGGCTAGCACATAGTTTTGCCTTGAGATTTTTGCGAGCCTCATTGTATTCGCTTCCAGCCGGAATACATCGGCGAGCATCCATAAGTGCCAGAGACTGTGCAGAGACCCAGTGTCCGGTTTGGCAATTTGCTTTGCCATATGAAGACATGTCTGCTAACAGTAACGTTTGACGAATATTCGACCAGTAATCTTCGACGGTGTTTAGTGGGCGTTTACTCAGCCCAGATGTCAGCGCACTTTGATACGTATTCAGAACAGCTGGCTTCGCCAGCTGGATGGTGCCAATCCGATCACATCAACGTTGAGGACGTCCACCGAAATGCACCAGGTCGGCACAGACAAGTGCGTGGTTAGAGTCCACGCTCGTGCTCCAAATTGAGCGACAGTTTTAGACACAGCCTCTCCAGCGGTAACTGATCGCAATATGATCGATTTGCGTCCATGGCTGGCCCGAGGATGGTGGCCGCCAAGTCACACTTCGAAAGTTAGTGTTCGCGTAAAGGAGGCGAGCATCTTCTCACAGCTGTAACAATCGCTCACTGTTATCATTACGGGAGCCTACACCATGTTGACCGCCCAGATGAAGCTCATCAGAGGACAATTTTCCGACTTGGGCGTTTAAATCGCCAACCAACACCACAGTAGCCATGCTTCTTCTGTAAAAATGGAGCTCGTGAAATTGCTGATAGAAATCGTCTTTTACCGAATCAGTGCTACAGTTTGTAAAGGCGTAGGCCGCAATGACAAACATACACCGTTTGTCCCCGCGCGACTTCGAAGCACGGAACGAACCAGCCAACCTAACGGCGCACAGCCGGCTGTTTACTGGGATCCAATCAATCAGGGCACCTTCAGCCCTGGGACTCAAAACAATGCCGACGCCAGATTGACCAGCATTTGAAGCTGCATCATCGCCAGACAGGCGCAATGAGAATGTGCCGCCAGTGTCGCATGTGAGGGATCGCAGGGTAACCACGGAGCTCGAATCTTGCAGGCGGGTTTCCGATAAACAGCAAATATCGATCGATAGGGTCTCTAGTGTGCGGGCAAGTACTGCCTGTTGGAAAATCTGTAGCAAAGTGCGCACGTTGAGGCATGCCAGTCTTAGCGAGACGCGAACACTCCAAAGGGAAACGGACGAACTGACGTTGTCCGCTTGGTTGAACATGGACTTGTCGACTGGATTGCAGCGACGCCCTGCGATTGTGTGTGATTTGAAACTAGAAGACAAGCGACTATTGAAGCAAACTGGGGGAGGGCCAAGAATTGGAGGATTGAAAAGGGGGGATAAAAGTAAAGTTGGAGCGGAACGATAAGGATGAAGAAGCGCAAGAAGAGGGATAAGAAGGCAGGAAGTCCTGAGCAGTAGCATTCAAACCCCTATCCACCCTGCTCGATGCAGCAGATAGGGCACCGTTGATTATCCTCTGCGGTGGCCAGGGCATCAGAAATTCGTTTGGAGTGAAATTCATTGTATTGCGTGGGCAGAATACTGTCAGGTTGCCCAGGCCTAGGTAGGAGAACGATTAAAGTTCTCAACTAGAACCTTTGGTTCAAAAACCTTACCGCAAGGCAGCGGGTTTTGGTACTGGACGACAGAGCCCGTGTTAAGGAATAAGGAGCCACCGTCATTCCAACCTCCAACCCGGAGGATCAGGAGGCTGAGTTTGCCTGGACTCTAACCATTGACCAATCTGGTATGAGTGGCTCTGAAGGTGCAAAAAAAACCCACCCAGCATAGCTCAATGGACCTCTGAGTTACGCAAACCATCGCACCACGGTACGGTCCAACCTCAGACTGCCTATTACAATAAAAGATTGGCTGTAAGAAATTCAGCTTATGAAACACGCGTTCGAAGCTGATTTCTTACAAACGATTAAATCCTTTATGTTATTCGAAAGCCATCTTTGCACCGCAAAACTGCAACCAAGTCAACATTCCACCAGGAGATTCGAGAATATGTTCATGTCCCAACAGGAAGAAAACAAATCAGACTTCCGACGAATGTTAGAACAGAACGCTACTCAGAATAGCCGCTATTGGATAAGGGTGCTGAACAATGACATGCTCCTTTTGACGAGTGTATTCAATAATGAGAGAAAGTGTTAAGTACGGCGAAAATAGAGAGAGAGAGAGAGAGAGAGAGAGAATGGATTGTGTTTCGCCACATGCCGGGGGATAAAAAAGAAAAGAACTCCGAAAGAACAGTGGAGATGAAATACGGAATAACAACGTTAAAAGAAGTAGGACGTAGCGAACAAGCTTGTTTCTCAGTGGATCATCATCAAGCTAGTACAACCACAACAACTATGTAGGTCAAAAATGAACACGTGAATTACAGATGTCAATAAATCAAAATATCTCATCAATAAGGCTGTGATCAGCCCGACCTGTGGAGCCTGAAGAGCGAGATGACACACAAAGTGATCTACGAGTCGTAGTTCCGAACAAGAACTCACTGAGAAAAAGATGTCTCCAGAAGTCGGGCGGAAGCATTGATCGAGCTGAATAGAGGAGGAAAATGATGTAACATCGGTAAATCACTAAAATATTAATTGTGAACATTCCGAGAGCAACTAAATGGAACTGAGTTTAAAGTGGTCAAACCACACATAGGTTGAACGCCGAAAAGTGCGTCAGGTGCCCGACATTTGGTTTCTAGATTTATCCGGAGTGCCCATTTCTTCTAACAAGTCTAAAGTCTGCTCCAGGCACCAAAGTACGGTGGATCCAGCTGTTACGATGTACATAGCCAGAATAAAAGTAGATAACGACACGAAAATACAATACAAAGGAATGGAGTCAGGAAGAAAAAGCGTAAAACTAATAGAGATGCAAGGAACGGAATGCGGGAACACCAGTGGCTGTGCCACATCCGATAAGGTCTCTAACCACTAGTGTGGATAATTCAGTGCCCCTATCCATGAAGACGGCATGTACCAGTGTGATCAAGCCATTCGGTCATTTTGTAGATCTTTAAGCCACGTCTAAAGTTGGGACAGTAGATCCGCTGACGTCAGCTATGAGTAATGGCAATAGTCTGCAGACTAGATAGAACATACGTGTGAGATGCCAAACCGAATTATGCACCGATGCTTAGTCGTCCACAGGTTTGAGATCAGGGAGTCCCTATCTCGTGCAAGTTTGACGAGGATTCATTATACACGTTAGCTAGAGGTGGAAAACACCTGATCTACTGTGCCGCAACACATAAAAGAAAAAGGGGAAAATGCAACAGGTGCAAGTCACCTGAGCTACCGGTAACGGATGGGCGACGATCCGGCAAGCTACCAGTCAGCTACTATGCAGTAAAAAAAATTTCCATGCAAAATTACATAAGGCTAAGTAGTGGGATCAGGGTTGGAAAGGGACACTAGGAGGGATGGGAACGGGCAAAAAAACTTACAGCACGAACCCCACTGTGTTCGGCTCCTAGCCATATCAGTAAATGTATCCAGCCAAACGTGTCCATCGTCTTTCGGAACCCACCCAGGGAGCCGAGACGCACGAACCCAGGCCAGCTTCGAAGTGAGGGGTTTAATTCCTCTCGACCAAGTCATCGCTTGGCCACCCCTCCTCTTCTTCCATGCACACCCCCGGTAAGCAAACAACGCAAGTCACAGGAGTCGGTGGGCTGACATGCGTAACACGTGGCCGAGCCATCGGAGCATGGTTTGTGTGCTAACGGTGTTGAGCGCTTCATTTCTTTTTCCAGTTCCGTAAACAAGGCGTCGAACACGCTCGTTGCTCATGAGGTGTTGCCACCAGATGTGAGCTAAACTGGGAAGGTACCGGTGATCGAAAGTAACTAACCTCTCTATGTCCACTGATCTAAAGGGCCAGGTTTCACAACCGTACAGTATGGTCGAACGTACCGCTGCATTGTACACTCTACTCTCCAGGGGGAGAGTGGTGTCGCACCGCCGCCATAAGTGGTGAAGGTTAGCAAAAGCGCCTCGAGGTTTCGATATACGGTTCGGGATCGCTTCAATCGCACGGGCGCTGATACAACTTCCCAAGTAGTTGAATTTTTGAACGACTTTTAGCTGTTCCCCACCAAGGGTCAGCGCAGGAGGCGGTCTAGGCCAATCTTGGAGAAACGTTTTGCACTTCGAAGGTGCGAAGCTAAAACTCGAAGTGAGGGACATCTAATACAATCTGTCCAGTGCCGCTTGTCACGTTTGTGAGCTGTCGCAGATTAGGGCAATATCGTCAGGATACTCTAAGTCAAGAAGTCGTTCTCCTGGGAGCAAATCCACACCTTCTAAGTTGTGTCTTGTGAACGAGATTTTCATGACTTCGTCAATAGTGAAGTTGAAGAGGAAATGTGACAGCGGGTGTCCTTGTCTCACACCGCTTGAGATACTAAAGGGCGACGACATCTGGCCGTAGGCACTCACTCTGCCTGAGCTACGTGCGTATAATGCTCAAATAATATTTACACATTTCTCGGGCACACTTCCTGAGTAGACAGTCCCAAAGTGCACGTCTATCCACCGAATCCAACGCACCTTTGATGTCGAGGAACACGACTACGGTGGGCCGCTAATATGTGTAACGGTGCTCCAACAACTGAGGCAAAGTGAAGATGTGGTCAATGCAGCCACGACCTCGACGAAACCGGGCTTGTTCTTCACGAATATGGCTTTCACGAGTGCCAGTCAGTTTGTGAAGGATGACAGAGGCAAGCAAGTTGGTGAGGATGGAGATCAGGCTGACTCCTCTATGGTTGCCGCATTCCGATTGTGAGCCTACTTTGAAAAGTAGGACTATGACGGAGCGGCTCCAGTCGGTTGGGACAGTTTCCTGTTCCCACAATTTCACCAGTAACTCTTATAAACTATCCACAAGAGCAGCTCCGGCGAATTTGAAGAGGGCTGGAAAAAGATCATTCGGTCCCGCGGCTTTATTTAACTTCAACAGTTCGATCTCACGTTCCACTTCTGAGCGAGGGGGTAAATCCAAACGGACAGCTCACGGAGCGGGGCGATCAGTGGCCGGCGATAAATCTGACAATTCCGACCGATTAACTTGCCTTTCAAAGTGCTCATCCCAACGTTCCAAGCGTTTTGGCAAGTTGTGGGCAGACTGTGCACTCTCGTCAAGTAGAGTTTCACTAACATCAGTTCTCCTGCTGCCCGTTTCCCGTATCAGCCGGAATCGTTACCAAGGCCAGCGGCCATTTCCACCTCTGATGCACAATGAGACCACCAGGATTCGAGGTCTCTCTTAAGGCTAGCACGGAGCCTTGCCCGGAGCTCTTTGCGAGTTTCACTGTGTTCGTTCCCAGCCGGAATAAGTCGGCGAGCATTAATAAGTTCCAGAGACTGCGAAGAGACCCAATATCCATGTTAACGATTAGACTTACCACATGAGGATTATCCTGCTGTTAGTAAGGTCTGGTGAATATGAGACCAGTGGTCATCAATTGTCTCCAGTGAGTGCTTACTCAACTCGCATGACAGCGTACTTTGATGGGCATCCAGAACAGCTGGCTCCAACCAGTTGGCTGGTGTCAATGCGCTCACAACGTCGTCGTGGGCGTCAGCCAAAATGCATCCGCAGGTCAGCACATACAAGTGTATGGTCGGTGTCCACACGTGCTCCAAATCAAGCGACAGTTCTGGATGCAGCCTCTCCAGCGGTAACTTATCACAATGTGATCGATTTGCGTCCATAGCTGGTTCGAGGCTGGTGGACGTCAAGTCACCCTCCGGCGGGTTCTGTGTCGGAAATTAGTGCTTGCAAGAAATAAGTAACCACTCACCGTTATCATTACGGATGCCTACACCGTGCTGACCACCCAGATGCATTTCATCAGTGGACAACTTCCCAACTTGTGGGTTCAGATCCCCCGCCAGTACAAGTGTCCGTGCTTCTTCTGTGGCGAAGGAACTGGGTCAGTTGGCGGTAGAAGTCGTCTTTTACCGAATAATCGTTAGTTTGTGGGTACACAAGCAGAGGCGACGTATAGACACCTGTTAGTCCCGTGCGGCTTCGAAGCTTTGAACGAGCCAGCCAATCGGACCGCACACATCCGGCTACTGATTGGAATCCACTCAACCAGAGCAGCTTCAGCCCGGGGACTCAGGGCAATGCCACCACCAGCTTGGCCGGTGCTCGAAGCTGCATCGTCCCAGGATAGGCGCAATGAGAAAGTGCTGCTGGTGTTACCTGATCGCAAAGTGAGCCGATAAACCGGGCTTGGCCGCTTGCTTGGACATGGGTTTATTGAGGGCAGGAATCACGTCCCGCGTTCACATGTTAGTTGAAACTAAAAGGTAAAAACCTATCAAAGCAAGGTGGGTGAGGGCCAAGAATTGGGGGGTTGAAAACAGGGGGGAGAAAAATGAAGCTGAAAAGAGGCGGTAAGAGTGAAAAAGCGTAAGAGAGGGAATAAGAAGACGAGAAGGCCTGAACAGTAGCATCCAAACCCCTATCCACCCTGCTCAATGCAGCAGATAAGGCACCGTTGATTATCCTCTGCGGCGGCCAGAGCATCAAGAAACTGTTTGAAGAGAAGTTCGTTGTATTGCGTGGGCAGGATACTGTCAGGTTGCCCAGGCATAGACAGGAGAACGATTAGGGTTCTCAACTAAAACCTTTGATGCAAAAACCTTACCGCAAGGCAGTGGGTTTGGCGTTGGGCTACAAGGAGTCCGTTTTAAGGAATAAGGAGCCACCCTTAGTCCAACGCCCAATCTGGAGGACCAGAAGGCTGAGTTTATCTGACCTCTAACCATAAACCAATCTGGTATGAGTGGTTCTGAAGGTCAAAAAAGCACCACCCAGTGTGGCTCAATGGATCTCTGAAGCACACAAACCATCGCACCACGGTAAGGTCCAGCCTCATTGCACCACACGAAAATTTTCAATAATGAGGTTATACGAAGGAGGGTGACGATCAATACGACTCGCGAAAAAATGTTACGAGGAAAGTCGCTCACCGAACCCGATTTCTAACAGTGTGCTTGATGGATACCGAAACCAAATCAGTTTTATTCAACACAAGGACATCGGCAAGCGCGATCTGCCTGTGGAGTGGATAGGTTAACAAAAAAAACACGAAAATGTACCTTTCGCAGTCATTTGTCGTATCAGCATTGTGATCATCCAACTGTGAAAGGCAATACTTAGCATCCAACAAAGTGATGATTCCATCGAGATAGACCCGGCTGCAAAGACTCTCATCTAACCAAAATATCGAGGCAATCGGGCCAGGATCAGCGAGACCAGTGGTTTCGATGAGAATGTAATCGAAATCTCCCCGCTTCTGCATTAGATTCTCAATGGCCTTGACACCTGGATCTTTAAGTGAACAGCAAAGACAGCCGTTGCGAAGCTCCAGCCAGTCCTCGAACATGTGACCGGTCTGCTGCTTCACCGACACGATAGATTCCATGGCAGACTCTTCGCCAAAATCATTTAAAATGACGGCGATCCGTTTTCCATGGGTTTGCGTTAAAATGTAATTTAGAAGTGTGGTCTTTCCAGAGCCTTTAAAGAAAAATAAATATTAACTAAGGGTTTGTCGCAGTAGGTTCCAAATCAGATAGTCGTCTACATACCCGGAAAAGACACTTGACTGCAGTTTCAAGCAATTGGACATCATCAGTTATGTACACCCAAGGGATCCATCAGGGTGCGAACCCATGACCAGCCAATAATGAGTATATGAAAACAAATATGCTATAGATCCGTTTTTGCGCAGCATAACAAAAATAAAAGGTTGTACCACGGAGGAACTGACAACTAGGTGAAAGTGCTGGTGCTGAAGGCTACTGAATGCATTGAAGCTAGGGTAATGTTAGTAACCGACATACCAGAAGGTTCAATCAAATGATGCACAACAGTGGAATTTCAAGCAATAATTACATAGATGGTGGCAATGAGAGATGAGTACGGTCGGTGCAATGGCAGATCATTGCAATGACAACCAGACAAACGCAATTCTAAGGTGATTGACGGATATTGTGAAATGCACCGCGAAAAGTTGCGCACATGCTGATTTATGCAAATCGTTTCAAACAGACTTAATGGTGCGCTAAAAAATCTGTGTAGAGCTGTGTTATCGCCATTATTATCGGTACCAATGCAAATATTTCGTAGGGCTACACTACTGCTATACAACCATACGTTACGTTACGAGATGACAATGCAAATGAGAAATAAGACAGTGTGAGCGGACTCAACGTATTGTGACGGCAGGTGTTGGCTTGAATGAAAAAAGGCTAATATAACACCCCCCACGCGAGCGGACCACAATCCATGGGTCCGTGGGGCTAGAAAGAATTCATTCGACATAGCAAGAGCGAAGAGTAGCTTATATATATATATATATATATATATATATATATGCATCAGTCTACAGGAATAGATATCGCGCCATTCAAAACCGTGGAGTTAGGAATCAAGGAAGTAAAATGTGCAACACCTGGAAAGGTGAAGAAATAATGAGGAGAAACCAAGAACATCAGTATCTTTTCCCCCTTTTCACATGGCGTTTTGCTTTTTTAGGTAAGGTTTTTGGAATCAGGAATGTATGTCAACTTGCGTGCACTGCTTCCATGGTACCCGGTTTTGAGCCATTGCCTCAAGCGTTGTAAGCCACTGGTATCCTTTATCGTTTAGTGCCTGACTAGGAAGACGTACTGCGCCAGCAACGGCTATGCAATATTACAATGTTTCCATGGTTCATCGCCAAGTGGTCAACTTGTCTTCCCGTGGCCTCTTCCAATGCGGCGTTGCGAGCGCAGATAGGGCGCAGCGTGGTAAACGCTAATTAGGCATGGGTAAGATGACCAATCCATCTCAAGTGGCATAACAGAACAAGCTCACAGAAGGAAAGACCCGTCTTGCTCAAGACGCGGTGTTGAACGTCATTATTGCGCACTCCCGACCCTTGGCAAACCACTGTCCAGTGTCAAAAGCCCTTACATGTCATCTACAAGGAGTGACCAGGATTCACATCAATAAAATTACCGCAAGAAAGATGGCATTAAGGTGAGCGAAATTCCGTAACGACGCCACAAGTGCCTCGGTTGGCCAAAGCGTGGCTGCAAACTAAGGTGAACCAAGTTAGCCCGGAAGAGTGAACAAACAGCAAGCGCATGCCAATAAACCTAGATTGGCGACACGGCGTGCAACGGCAACTGAGCCGAAACGAAAAGAAATGAGTGGATAGAAAGAGAATCAAGCGTTGGCCAACCCATCTAGCCAGATTTGTACCGGTAGGCCGGGATGTTTCGGCGAGCATCGAAAAACTTAAGGGACTATGTAAAGACCAAGTGTCTAGGCTGGTAATTGTAGTTGCGTGTTGTTGATAACGTCTGGCAATGATGTGGACATTGGACTCCAACTGTGCTCAGCGAGCGTTTGCACAGCCCGGATGTCAGGGTACTTTAATACGCATTCGCAACACCTAGCTTCGCTAGCCAGTAAATGTTTATGAGCTCACAGTTTCGTCACGGGCGTCCGCCTGAACGCACAGGAAGGGCGGCACAAACAAGTTTTTTGGTCGGACTCTAAGATGGTGCTCCTCCGAATCGGATCAATTTTGAACGCAGCTTCTCCAACGGCAAATGGTCGAGACGAGATCAAAGTTGCGTCTATGGTGATCCGAGGCTGACGGGTGCTGTGTTGAAGTTAGCGCTCGTGAGAAATAGACGCACATATTCACACAGGTGCAGCAACCGCGCATTACGGGACCCTACGCCATATTGCAAATCATTGACCTCTCAGTTCGGACAGGTTTGGAAGAAAGAGACCATCTCAACTGACTGAAGTAAATCGAGCAGTGACATTACAGATGGAGGGCAGTCGCACCGACTGCGCTGACTACAGGGGTATTAGCCTAACGCCGGTGGTGACATAATTACTAGCCTCAATTCTCGATCGTCGCCTCATTGTGGAAAGGAAATTCTGGATTTGGGAAGAGCAAACAAGTTTTCGCCCAGCACAGTACTGTATAGACCATTTATTCACTCTGTAGAAGGCGTTAGAACAGCGTCGCACGTATCGTAGGCTGACAGTAGCTGTGTTCCTCGACTTCAAGCAGCCGTTCGATTCAGTCGACAGATGTATTCTGTTCGAAACCCTTGCGCGGAAAGGTGTTTCCATGAAATATATGAACATTATAGTGTCCCATATTCGAACACCACAAACCGTGTCAGGGTCTACAGTGATTTGCCGGATGCCTTTCCGACAAAAAGTGGCGTTCGTCAGGGTTGTCCAAGTTTCCCACTTTTGTTCAACTTTATCGTGGACCCCATCATGGAGTGTTCCCTTGGAAAATCTCAGGGTGCAGGCATTGAGATGATGCCTGATGCAAAGCTAGTTGATCTTGAGTATGCGGATGATATCGTCTTGTTGTGTAACTAAGTTTGGGTGGCCCAATCAAACCTGAGTGGTCCTGACAGTTGACATGCGATTCGCACATTCAAACTGCAGTGTTATTGCAGGACTATCAGCCACCTGATGACCTCTTAACCTTTGATAGCAAGGAACTCTAAGTAGTTGATCATTTTACTTACCATGGCAGCTGCATCAGAAGCGATGAGCACATAACCGTTGAAGTCGGTTCACGTACTGCACGAGTTAGAAATGCTTTCTGCGACATCTATGGTATCAGAAGAGGGTTACCCTCGATCTGAAAAGCCGTAGTTACAAGGCCACAGTGAGGGTTGCTCTACTCTATAGGAGACTTGACGCCTTGATCAACGCTACCTGGGAAGTATTGCTGGTGTCGGATGGCATTAACGTATCTGTAACGATGCTGTGGGTAAACAAGTGCTAGTTCCTTGGAGCAACAAATGACAGTGAATAAATTGCGTTGGCATGGACAGGTATTACGCATGCCCGGTTACCAGCTACCGAGAGGGGACTTGTTTAGTTTAAGAGACGTAGATTGGCAAGAAACACGAGGCAGGCACAAGTTAATTTGATAGGGGGGAATGAAGTCGCTGGTGACTAAACTAGGTGCCGTTGGTTAGCCTAATCATTCAGGTCGGAGTCCACGTGACCCGCCTTGTGTGTGGTATGAGACGTTACAGGACAGGCTCGCAGCCTGCACCAGTAGCCAGACTGGCTGTTTAAAGTGTGTTTGCCGCGGACTATGACGCATGGCAATAAAAGCTGCAGAGAAGCTGTCTCGCTGATGCCGCCTTATCTTTGCATGATACCCAGCTGATTGTGACGGTATGTTGTTGACAGGGTATCATCGTATTGAGTTTGAATTCTTGCTAAGGTCACCATTCTCTCCCTCTTATTATTCGGTTCGGTAGTTCACTGTGGTTGTACGGCAGCGAAGCATCAGTTCAAATGTCTTATGTACTGCTGCTGCTGCTGATATTGACCGCCCAGATGGATCTTATAATTGAACAATAATCCAACCTTAACGTGCAAAGCACTAGTTATCACAGGTAGATCTATACTCATTCTGTTGACGATAAGTCTTCAAGGACTCAGTTTGTCACTAGATTAGCATTCGTGAGACTTAGAAGTTTTGAACGACCCAGCCAATCTGACCGCCGGTGTCAAATGAAGGATGTCATAGGGTGAGCACAGAGCTCGAGTTTTTGGGGTGGGTTTCCGATTACCAGCACATATCGACAGAGATAGTCGAGAATATGCTGGCATAGGATGTCTGAAGACACGTAGAGGATCGAGGAGTCCAAATAAAAATTTGTGAACTGCAATTTTCCTCTTGAGCGGAGTTGGACTTGTCGAAGTAGGAGCGATACTCCGGGGGGCTGCGTGCAAGTCAAAACAAGAGAAATGTCTAGCATAACAAGACGGGGGAGACGAATCTGGGGGTTATACTCAGGATGGATAGAAGTGACGCTGAAAGAAAACGATAAGTATGAAAAAGCGTAAGAGGGAGAAATAGAAGTCGAAAATCATCATCAACAGCAGCACATCAGCCATTTGAACTGAAGCTTCGCTGCTATACAACAATAACGACCTATGGAACGAAGAATAATAAGAGGGAGAGAAAGGAGGCTTACCGAAAAACTGTAATGCTCTAAGCAAACATTCAGGGTCAAGACGCCTTGTGTCAATAACATACCGCCACAGACAGATGGCTATCGTGCAAAGACAAAGAGGCATCGGCGAAACAGCTTCCTTGCGGCTTTCACTGCCCCGCAGATAACTCAGCACCAAACACACTTTAAACAGGCAATCCGACTGGGAGACAGGAACAGACATGTCACTGGTGTCAACAGCCAGCCACGTCTTGTAAGGTCTCGAGCAAAGCATAAAGCGAGTCACGTGGACACCAGCCTGGAAGGCGAGATGGAATGACGGCACCAAGTGTGATCGTCAGTGACTTCATTTCCAACCGCTAAGTCAAGTTTTGCCAACATTGAGCCTTGCACCACAGCACATCTGGCAGACAAAATA